GGTCTCAAGCTGGATAAATTTCCAACACATACATTGAAAATTTCCAGTGCTGCTTGTGGGGCATCAAATCTTAACTTGCTTACTGCAAATCTAAAATCTTACAGCTTTTTGAAAGAAAAGTACAGCCTATAAGATTTTCTGTATCAGAAACCTTCCAGTTAAAATCCAGTTAAAAGTACTGGTTTTCTTCTTGATTCTCCAGGGGACTGGGGAAAGGTCATACTGTTTATCCCTTGCAGCAAAATCACCAGAATCTTACAGGACTGCAAAGTTATAAATCCGTGTAACTGCTTAAGCTTTCGAGGATTCCCCTTCAAATTTATGTTAAAGATAACAGACTTGAAAGATAACAGATTTAAAGATATCTCTTAAACACTAACTGATTTTATTATGGCACAAGCTTTTGTGGTTGTCCTTGAAAGCTTATAGCAGAAGAACATTTATTAGTTTTTAAGGGGCTACAAGACACTTTGTTGGTTTAGATTTCTTATCAAAGAGCCCAAGAAACATCTTTTAATTTGTTTTATTTATGTAAATGGATCTTGGTTAGAAAGTGTTTGTGTGGATTCATTCATATAATATGTATGTGCTTTGAAGTTGAAATATGAAGATTGTGGTTAGAAATCTTGCCAACTTGGTTAGATTTAACAGCAACAAAAAGCTGTTTGTGCAGGAGTGTGAGAATCTGAAGGCTGTATCTGAAATGAGTACTGCCTCTGTACATAATTGGATTTTTACACAGAGATCAAGTCATGTTTGTAGGAGTTAGCAGAATATGGTCCTTGAGAAGACTGCATCTCCCATCAGTCTTGGCCCAACAGAGAGTATGGTGAGGCATGCTAGGAGTCACAGTCCAACCAAATCTGGAGGCCTTCACTTTGGGCCTCTCAAAGGAAGGAGTAAATCATTGGGCCTTTGCAGACTGCCAGAAATAGTGCACATTAAATTGAGGCACTGCCCTGGCTCAGTGCTAGGGAATCATGGGAACTGTAATTTATTGTGGCACCAGAGCTCTCTGACAGAGAAGGTTCAATGTCTCAGAAAAAAATACAATTCCCATGACTCCCTAGCACTGAGCCAGGGCAGTGCCTCAATTTAATGTGCACTATTTCTGGCAGTCTGCAAAGGCCCATTCTCTTCTGGTCTTAAATTCATGACTTGAATCCCAGTTAGAAGGGAGCATTGTGGGTGGGAGGAGGAGGAGGAGGTTACTCCAATTATTTTTGGTCTATCAGTAAATGGAAATAACCTGAATTCCACCCCTCTCGGGGAATGGCGATTTTAAAGGACATGTTTCCTGGTAAGCCTGAGAAAAAGTGTAACTAGTCACTGAATCTTAGAGGTGAAATGTACAACCGTGTAATTACCATATGTGTCAGTCTTTATGTATAGATAGAAAAGAAGTGTCTTTTCTGGATCAGCTCAAAGATCCATCCAGTCCTGCTTGCCACAACAATCAACCAGATGTCTGTAGTGTGCTCACAAACAACAGCTTTGTAGTCAATAGCATGTGTGTATGTATGTATGCATGTGAAAGAACCCGGACTGGTGTTTAGAAACATGTTTTTGGCACAGAGGATTATTAATAGCCATATACTAGCTCAAGTTTACATTAAAATGTGGTTTTGTGTAAGCATGTAAAATGTGCTTAACTGTAAGCATAGTTATAAGCCAGTGTTATAGTCTGACCCTCCAGATGCATCCTGAAGGCCTTGTCAGTGGCTGCACCCAGGCACTGAAATTCCTTGCATTATTTATTTCCTGTTCTTGAAAGCATTTATCCTTTTAGAGTGATTATTTTTCTGCCCTGAGGCATGACTAGAGCGCTGCTGGCGAAAACATCGACATTTATTTGACAAGACACGTCATAGGATCATGTTGGATTCTTATCGGGTAGCAATAGATTCAGTAAAGAATTATTTCTATGCTGCACGTATTGCATCTGCAAAGTCTCGCCC